GAAGAAAAATTCCCCCTGGACTAATTGGGTTGATGAGCATCATGGGGGTGGGGATGGGGGGGAGCCCACTCGTGATCCACTTCTGCCTGCACACACCTGACACAGCCTGTTTACCAGCAGCTTACACTCAGAAAAGATGCCACAAGCCGAGCGCAAAGCCTGATGGTGACGATCACCAGCAATGGCTTACCTAAGAAACAGCTGCCTGTGAAGCAACACGGGCATTTAGGTCAGTCTAACCAAGATGGCATCAATTACTGAGAAGTTAGAGAAAACAGAAAATCAATTACACTTGAAGATTAGGCCACACTGGGAAAATCCTGCATTACCGCCACTTGAGGCATTTGGAATTAGGCTGAATGAAATACCAGCAGACATATTAAGAACAATAGGATCTCTTTCAACAGGGTTGACGGGAGAGAAAATATGACTTAGTAACAAATATTTTTCTGATTTCAATAGGCCACACTGACTTGCAATCATGTGCTTTAGGTTATCCAGTTAGACTACAGTTTTACAAAGATGAGAATATTTTTAATGATTTTAGTGTTGTTTAGGGACTTCACATATAATTACTCCTTTCAGATCTTTCATACCAAAAAAAAAAGCTTTTAATGATCACATAAAAGACTAACATGAACATGTTTTTAAGAAAGATGCGCAGGGGCTGGGGTTGGTGGCTCAGCAGTAGAGCGCTTGCCTCGTACACGTGAGACACTGGGTTCGATCCTCAGCACCACATAAAAATAAGCAAAAAAAAAAGAATGTGCAGTCTTTCAACGTTGCGTATCTTTCTTCCCTTAGATTCAGTCCTGCAACTTTTCAAAATATCAAAATTACACAGATTCATTATAACCTGGCGAAACCTAAAGCAAAAATTGTCAGGAGATAAAATTTTCAGACCCACTTTGAAACAATGAGGAGTTGTTCAAAATGAACCCAGGAAACGAAAATGGCTTCAAAGACACAAAAGCTCTCAATCAACACGGGAAGCACACAGCCCACCACTGTCCAGGATTGCTGGGCAACAGGATGCAGGAAGGCAAGAGTAGTTTTCTGTTTGGATACAACCAAAAGAGACAAAAATGAAAACGAGTTCTGTATGACTATGTTCATGACAACAGAGTTGAGTCCTTATCGACGTATCTTACTAACACATTTTTAAAACATCACTTGGTGTAACAGAAGCAGCAATAAGAACTCAAACCATCTGTGGCAGAAGCTATGTATCCAAACCCTCTTCAAGGAAGAAGCCAGCAGGGCCCAAACATGGAGAGCAGGCTCTGAACACAGCAGAGCCTGGTCTCTCCGTGGCTACCTCCTTAACAATTATGGTAGCAGCAAACCAGATGTCTTCTCTGCATAATCAAATATTTCATAGAGGACAACTCCAGACAGTTAGGGCAGGTTAGAAAACAGTAAGAGACAATGCAATACTGGGGGCTGGGAACAGGCGGCAGTTTCCACCCCAGGCCTGAAGAGGCACAGACAGGAACAGCTCCAGGATCCCAAACAAAGAAACAATACAGAGGGTCACCAAACAAAAGCCATGGCTCTGGGGCAAGAGAAGCAGCCAACCCGAAACAAGACAAGAGGGAGCCAAGAGATGGGGACAAGACTCCTATCACAATTCCAACCTCCTACTGGCCAAACACAGGGAATGACAGATGGCAGAGATCCGACCACGGAACCCATGCAGGTTCATCTCCATGAGCAAAGATCAAGGTGGGGGTAGACCTGGAGGGGTAAACAGCCCACTGCTGCTGCAAACTCCAAGATAAATGTAAAGCAAATTGAAAATTCTATGTAAGAAACATCAAATGGATCAAAGGATCCAGCTAAGGGTACATGAATGGCATTAATACAGGAAAAATGGAAATGGAAGAATGGAGTAGAAAGCTAGTAGGATCATGCTGCAAAGGACCAAAATAATTTGAAGGTATCAGGCTTCCACAAAGGTACACATGCAGGACAGTGAAATAATCCCAGGTCAAGGGCAGCAGCTTGCGAAGTCAGATGCAAAGGAGCATCACTGATGACTTAGACCAGTTTGTCTGTCAAGCCACCCAAGCATTAAGTGGGCAGTACAAGGTCAACACTAACAAGAACTGAGCCCCTAATGTGTTCTGGGTTCCTCAAAATTCACATCCTTCTAATACTCTCCTTTGTAAAGTAAGAAAACAGCCTCAGGAGAATATATGACAACCAACAACTGGCTGATGGCTACAAAGGCCACATTATTTCACCAACAAGCAGCTGCCTCCAGGGAGAACCAGGAGAGACAAAAGAACAGAAGTTCACCTCCAGGCCCTGTTTTCCATCAACTAGGAGATCCCAGACAAGTCACCCGATTCCTTCATAGCTCACTGCAAACCAAGGGCAGCTCCCAAAATTAATCCCCCGTTTCCAAAACTGTCTTTTCCCACTAATAGCACTTAATCCATCAGCTTTCCCATCCTCAAATCAAACTGGCCAATGAGTATTGCCATCACCTTGATCTTCAACTCCTGGATTCCTGCAGACTCTCACAGCCTCTCCAATAAAACCAATCAAGTCCAAACTCACCAGTGAGAAATCATCCCTAGATAACCCAGCCTGGGAACAAAAGGCCTTCTATGATTTCCACAGAAATTACATCTCTGCAAGCCATCTGGGCAACTTCTATGAACGTTGATGACAATCGGTAATTTTTTAAAATACTATTTCTTGGAGCAATTTTAGGTTCACAGCAAAATTGAGCAGAAGTACGGAGTTTCTATAAACCACTGCCTCCCCACTACCAATATGCTGTACTAGATTAGTACATTTATCACAAAGAGTCTATACTGACATCATTACCATCCAGAGCCAATAGAGTTCACTTAGGGTACGTTCTGTGGCTTTGAACAAGCTTACAATGACATGTGTCCACCATTAGAGTATTATACAGAATAGTCTCTCTGTCCTGAGCATCTTCTGTGCTCTGCCCATTCACTTCCTCCCTACCCCCACCCACAACCACTGACACTCTGACGCCACAGTTCACCTTTTGTAGAACATCATATACAATGTGTAGCCTTTTCAGATTGGCTTCTTCTAATTGGTAATATGCATTTAGGGACCCTCTATCTTTTCAAGGCTTGGCAGTGCATTTAAGTGCTAAATAGTAGTCCATTGTCTAGAAGTACCCCAGTTTATTTATCCATTTACTTATGGAAGGACACCTTTGTTGCTTCTAAGTTTTAGCAATTGTGAATTAAGCCCTTATAAACATGTGCAGGCACACATTAGCTTCAGACTGACTTAGGTAAATATCAAGGAGCATAATTGCTGAAGAACAGTTTTTGTTAAGAAACAGCCGAACTGTCTACCAGAGTGGCTGCACCATTTTGTTTGCCCATCAGAAGAGTTCCGTTCCTCCACAATGCGCTAGCATTTGGTACTGTCAATGTTTTGGACTGTGGCCATTTTACTAGGTATGAGCAACAACGTAGTCTTGTTGCTTTAACTTGAAATTCGCTAATGACACATGATGTTGAGCATCTTTTTTAAATGCTTAACTGCCAGGTGTATATTTTCTTTGCCAAAGTGTCTGCTAGGTTTTTGTCCATTTTTTAATTGTGTTGCACATTTTCTTACTGTCCAATTTCAAGAGTTCTTCACTTACTTTGGATACAAACCCTTTATCAGATGTACTTTTTACAAATATTTCCTCCTATACTGTGGTTTCTCATTTTCTTGGCAGTCTTCTGTAGAGCTGCAGTTTTTGACTTTAATGATGTCCAACTTTTCAATCATTTCTCTCATGAGTCAGACCTTTAATGTTGTATCTAAAGTCACTGCATATCCAAGGTCACCTAAACCTTCTCCTATGGTATCTTCATTACCATTATTTATCTTTCAAAAAGTTACTGAAAGGCCAATGTGTGTGTCTGGTGCTCAAGACCCAATCAGGCAGCAACCTCTCAAGCATCTTTAGGCACCGCTGAAGCAGCTCATCCAACAATCTTGAGAACAGTGCTTCTCGATGACAGCAGGGAAATCACAGTGTAATGTCAAAGTACAGGCTTTGGATCCAGGGGATCTGGCTGGATCTTTGTCACATACTAGTCATGGGCCCGGTGTCTCAACTTAGCGGCAAAAATGAGCAAAATATTTAAACCCATTTTACTTTACGGTACTGTCGTAAATATTACAACAGCGCACAGACGATGCTACTCTGTAGATAGTCATGGGACTGGAGTTCAGCAGTGAAGTGATAGCTCAGCATAAGAAAAGACTAGGTTTCCATCCCCAGCACCTCAAAACAACAACAACCAACAAAAAAAAAAAAAAAAGGAGGAAGGTGCGTGCACACATGCATGCGGGGTCAGGGGGTGGGGAGGGTTCTGCAATACCTTCTCCAATGTATAATTTTGAAAATTCAAAGTAATCACTACTATAAATTTTTAATTCTGATAGTTCATATTATTTTGGAATTTCAAAAGATGACTAAGGTAAGTATCATTCTCAGTCTATAATCGTCAATCCCAGATAAACAAAAGTTCGAAATTAATGCACAAAGACATATGGAAGACATTGGACACAGGACATGCTTCAGTGAGCACTGGCTAATGAAATAATCAAAGCACAATTCTATTTTCTAGTGCCACTACCAAATTTATACCTGAAAGTCTATAAAAGAGTACTCTTAAAATGAGAAACCGTAATTATCTGATGTGAATAAAAACATTTCCCTATTTTAAAACTGTTTAAATTCCGTCTTCTAAGATTCAAAACTAAATCCATTATATAGAAAAATAAAATTTAAAAAAAATTGACTAGAGCCTACTTCATTGACTCATTTGTACGGCAATCAAACATACACTTCCTGGTCAATGCATGAAGTCAAGGACAAAACTGAATGATTTTAGATGTAAAATAACTTTTATAAAGATGGCCCATAAGTGTGAACAGAGAAGTGTTTTTATAACATGGTTCAGAAAATACATGTGCCTGCTTATCACACTTTCAACAATTACCTTTAATTGTTTCCTCCACAACTTCCACCACGCGATCTATCTGTTGAACCTAGAAGAAAAAACAGACAGACAGCAATGGTAATGGAGAAGAAAAACGTACTCACGCTTCTGCCTGAGTCGATGTGTATTTCCTAAGCACATCAATGTTGGTTTTCTTTAATTAACACATTTGGAGAGATTATTTAAAAATTCTATACTAATGTTTTGTGTAATAATGAAGTATGAAATTATCACCATCCTCTCCCCCAATGATAATTGAAAAAATAAGCGTACTGCATTCAAACAAACTGCCTGGATAGACTATTTATGTCTCAATGTAACCGGAGATATAAATTTAAGTTTAATTAAAAAATGTCTCCTCCCACAGAGCTTTAAGCAAAAAGGATGTAACGACAATCTACCCAAAAGGACATGCTAATACTAAGGAGTGCTATCCCAAATGCTGTGCTTTCTTGTTTTAATTGTTAAAACCCTAAGAATTTTACCAGGCATTCAAGTCCATGAAATACAAGGTTGAACAACAGGCTCCTGATCCATGTGCCCGTGACTCGAGGAGCCCTCCCAGGGTGCCAAAGAAACACAGGACAAAGATAATAAAATCAGACCAAAGGAACCCAAGTGACTTTTGAGTGACAACGGGAGAAGCCTACCAAGCAGACTGCAGAAGGATGGCTCGAGGTCGGAAGGAAAACAGAAAAGGCAAAGTAAAATTATGATCCAAGAAGCTAGAGGAAGAATCAGGAAAAGGTCAAGGCTGATTCTCTAAAGATGCTCAAATTATTATTGTCTTCATACAGAAGAATCCTACGTGCACTGGAAAAGTTAAAACCAAATACGACTACCAAAAGAAAACAGCAGCAGGGCGTGGGGGTGCAGGCCTGTAGCCCCAATAGCTCAGGAGGCTGAGGCAGGAGGATCTCGAGTTCAAAGCCAGCCTCAGCAAAGGGAGGGCGCTAAGCAACTCAGTGAGAACCTGTCTCTAAATAGAACACAAAATAGGGGTGGGGATGTGGCTCAGTGGTCGAGTGCCCCCAGGAGTTTCATTACTAGTACTCCCAGCCAAAAAAGCAAACAACATTCCCCGCCTCTATTTCCACTCCACAGATAAAATCACTTTATGATGAGGCACCAGGTATTTTTCTCATGCTGAACATTTATATAAAAAGTATTTTCCTGGGCTGGGGCTGTAGCTCAGCGACAGAGCACTTGCCTAGCACGCATGAGGCACCGAGTTCGATCCTCAACACCACATAAAAAATAAATAAATAAAGGCATTCTGTCCATCTACAACTACAAATGTTTTCTTAGGTTTTTTTTTTTTTCCCCCTGAATCTTTCTATAGTGCTATTCTTTTTTAAAAAATGACAGTGGAAACGTGTGTGTGCGCGCTTTGCCCCTTGACTTTTCTCTACTTTTTTCTTTGTTCATCCTTACTGCATGGATGTTGCAAAATGTATTCATCCATAATCCTACTGATGAAAGAATGTCATCACTCTACAATAATGCTATGAAGAACTTAACTGAGAAGAACCTGTTCAAAAATTTTTATTATAAATACAATAGCAAGTCTCCTAAAACTCTCCTTTCACCCTCAGTGTCCTACAGGAAAATAGGGAAAGACAAGCATGCATAAACCCTGCGCTGCCAGAGGTAAAGTGACAGGGAAAGGAGGAGCCAGCAGTGTCAAAGGCTGCTCAGATGGTAAGTAACACACAGCCCAAAATGAACGTGTGTTTAGGGGTCGACAAACTTAGAGGAATAAGTTAACTCTGTGGTAACAAATCATAAATAAAATGGAGACACTCAAAGCTGTGGGCAGAAAGGGAAGGAGAGAGACTCCAGGTAGTTGAGGAAATTGAGACTCGATGTGTTTTTGTTTGGATTAGTGCATTTCTCTCTTTTCTCCCTTTTTGTTTTTCTAGTGTATATGCTAACAGAAGAACAGAAATAGAGAAGGAAGAGTTGAATACAGCAGAAAAAAATGATGGTGTAAGGGCCCCGAGAATGGGGGACAGGGTGCAAGGCTTCTTGTGCAAGCAGAGATCAGAACACAGCAGGGGAGCAATGCCCATGCTCCCGTGGGATGAGGGCGAAGGCCAAGCAAGCTCTCGTCTGCTGGCCTCAGTCTGTCTCAACGGAGTAAGAAATTCATGTGCTAAGAGTGAGAAAACGTGAGGAAATAAGAACGGAGTCAATGTCCACAATCGCCTGTTATAAGAGCAGGAGCGAGTGGCGACTAGAAACTCGTAAAAATCGTCAGGACTAAGAAGAAAATTTCCAGCAGTGAGTTCACTACAGCTGACTCTCTCTCAAGGCCTAGCGGCTTCAGTGTAGGAGGCAAATAGGCCGATTCAAACTTGCCGATTCCATCACTCACTCATCATGGATTGATATCTGATGTGTACCACATGATCTAAAGTGCTAGAGAAGCAGCATTAAGAGGTTATGGAAAAGACCAGAGGGAAATGGAAGGTAAAAGCTGACTATGCGTTTTGGATAACATGAAGTTTGGAAAATAGGTGAAGAAGTACAACCAAAACGAAGAGATGAAGTGGGCAGGGCTGGGGCAAGAAGGGGAGGAAGAAGAGAGAAAAAGAAAAAAAAAGAAAGTCAAGCAGAGGGTACAATCCAGAGTATGGATACAGGCATTTGGTCTTTTTGAGTAATCCCAAGTTCCAAGATCTGCTCACAGAAACAGGTTGCTGAAAAACAGTGGAGCTGAGAAATAAGGAGGGGCAAGGTTAAAGTTTGGTGAGACATCCAATAAGGGACGACATTGACACTGCCCAGGGTGACAGAGAGCTGGGCAGGACAGGGAAGAGTTGTCCAAATTTTCCACTGAATGTAGATGAACAACCAAGATATCAAATGATAATATTAGTTGAAGAATAAGAATGAAAAGAGCAAAATATGAGATAACTCGGTTGCGGGACCAGACCAAGAGTGTTCTCCTATGCACTTGGAGATACACAAGTTCAAGGGAGCACTGCACCCTGCCTTGGACCACCTCAACTAAGAGGCCATACTGCCAAGGAAGAGAACATGTGGAGGAGCAGTCTGCTACAAGCACGGTGAGTTAAAACAATAAAACTCTTGGAAGAAAACAGACATAAATCCATGTCAACCTTGGATTAAACAATGATCTCTCAAATATAACAACAAAGCATGCGTAATGAAAGAAAAAAAATAGATAAACCAGACATCACCAAGAGCCAAACCTCTTGGTCCATCCAAGGACACCACTAAGAGAGAGTAAAAAGATGCAGAAAATGCAAGAAAACTTTTACAAATCATGAATCTGACAAGGGATATTTGTAATTATGAGAAGTCCCACAAATCAAGAGTAACAGAAATATCAATTAAAAATGAGCAAAGGAGCTGAACAGACGCTTCTCCAAGGAGATATACAAATGGCCAATAAAGAGATGCTCAGCACCATTAAGCCAACCAGAGGATGTGAATCGTGACAACAAGCAGGAGACTGGGATTTTGTGCGCATACAATTTAAAAAAATGAAAACATTCTGGAAATGGATGGTGGTGAAGGTTGCAAAACAGTATGATCATGCTTCATGTCCCTGACCTGTGCACTTAAAAATGGCTAAAATGGTCATTTTCATCATGCATATTTTACCACAATTTTGAAAAACCACCGAGATGAGCTCTCACTTCACACCCACTGAGATAGTATCCTAAAAAACGCTGATAACAATGATGGTGAGGATGGGAAGCACTGTTAATGGAGCTAGACTCAATGCAGCCAGTTTGGACAGGTCTGCAGCTCCTCAGAGGGCTGACCAGTTTCCCTATGACCTAGCAATTCCAATCCCAGACATACACCCAAGAGCAATTACAGTTTCAGCCACACAAAAACTAGTGCACAATGTTCACAGCACTATTCAGAATGGCCAAAGATGGAAACTCAAGCACCCTTCAGCTGATAGGTGGGTAAACAAAACGTGGCATATCTACACAATTAAGTATCAAGTCATAAAAGGGAATGAAGCATTGATACAGCATTACACTAAATGAAAAGGCCACACAAAAAAGTTGACATGATTCCACTTATACGAAATGTTCACAAAGGGAAATGACAAGAGGTTAGTGACTGCCTAGGGAGAAATGGGGTGCTGAAGAGTGCTGGGTTCCTTTATGCAGTGATGACCACAACGCTGAACATACCTAAAACCATGTTACCCATATAACTGGAGGCACTGTCCAGTGTGTGGATTGTATCTCAATAAAGTGATGTGGCCAAAAAAAAAAAAAAAAAAAAAGCAGAAGGTGGTCACCTGTTCTAGTGTCAATGTCATTAAGTCAAAGGAAATTTTCTAGATTAAAGAACTAAGAGACCTGAAAACTAAATGTTACTGTGGAAACCTGGATGTGCTCCCCACCCCTTTTCCTATAAAGGACATTACTGAGGCAAGTGACAATAACTATAATGAAAAAAAGTTTGTATACCAGCTTATTGTATTTCACTTCATGATCTTGGTGATGACCTGCCTTTTTAAAACACACAGGTACTTAGCAAAGGCACCATACCTGCAGCTTACTTTCAAGAGGATCAGGAAAAAAACACATGCATATAAAAACAGAACAAATCTGTTAAAATATTAGTACTGGGGAATTCTGGATGGAGGGCATATGGGAAATCTTTCCTTACTTTTACAAGTCTTCTGTAAGTATGATATTATATCAAAATTAAAAGTTTCACGGTGTATGTTTACATATGCATAGAGGAAATGAGGGCAGTTCTCCTTTTAACCTGCTGGTTGTGCAGAATATGCTTCAATTAATACAGCTGAAAATATATTCTGATTTTTAAAAAGCACTCGATAGCATTTGTCTTAAAGGTGAAAAATTCTGTATTGCCCACACATGATAATCACTGGCTGTTATGAGAAACTCTAGGGCTTAAGAGTCCACAAAACTTAAACAGGCACAAAGTTGGGCGGGGGCACCTAGTTCAGCACTAGGGCACTTGCTTAGCATGCTTTAGCCCCTTGTTCCATGCCCAGCGCTGGAAAAACAAAAACAAAAAAACAAG